TTGGAAAGCAGAGAAGACTACTTTGATTTACACTATTGGGTGAATATCCGGCACCTTGATTCTAACTAGCACTTCACTGACACAACGGATGTGCATCACCAAATTCACTACCAAATTAACACAAATACACATTTTCCCCAAACAAATACAATATATACACCACCCTATAGTAGTACAACTACTATGGAGTACAGCAACAATGTTTTTTTTCATTTCAAAACAATTCCTACGGTTATCTATAATTACTACAATGAACTGTATATATCATACTGTTGTTACTTTTCTTGTACAGTGTCGGTTGTGGTGATATATATCATCGCCAAACGCTCCCCACCCCGTGACAATAAAGACTTACAAGATGAACACTTTACCAGAGATGTCTGTTATGAGACATGTATTTGAGACAAGCTCTTATCTTGTCTATACAGTTGACTATCCCCAACATGCACCTCTCATACATACTTCGCATTATGTATTGTTTCATAGATACATAGAGTTAGAGAGGTCTGTGACAATAAGATAACTATTATAATTCAATATACTCCCACTGTGAAGATATTAAGTTTTGGAGAATTAGAAAGTGAAGTCAGTACATACGACTTTTAAACAGAAATGCACTTGATATCATAAACTACTTGAAACAATCTGTAATTCTAATTACTTAAAAAAACATATTGTTCTAGTACTTGTCGAGGACTTTTTCTCTGGTAACATTAGATAATTCTGTAATTGTAAAAGAGACTTCACATGAAACTGGGTTTATTTTGTTAACCCATGGAAAAAGAATATCAGTACTAGTATTACAGTTTAATCAGTATTTAATAACATTGAAATATTAATAGATTTTCCAAACATGGAAATAATCGTATCATCCGCATACATATTCAACTGCTGACAGGAGTCAGATTAAGATCATTCATAAATAGATTGAACTCCTGGGGAAAGAAAGTGTACTCTTGATATTTACCCGCTATGATCTTTCTTTCAAATACGATGAGACCCGTATGATTGATTCATTAGAGCATGGATAACATTCAAGCTTTTGTAATAACATGATACAGTCAATGATCAAATAATTAAACACCTCGAGAAAAGAAAAGATCGAGAAAAACACACACCACACATTTGCCTGAATATATGGCTTTAATCAGAGCAGCCTGGCAAGAAAACGATTTTCGAAAACCTAACTGTGCATCATTAATAGAGTTGTTATTATTTAAGTATGCGCAGAACGAATCATGAACATATCTGTGCTAGCCAATTGTGTGCCAGAATTGGGTCAATGAATTTTAACATTCGATCTATCCCATGATTTGTAAATTGGTAGCTTTCACATGTCCGGATAAACACCTGAGGTAAATGCTGTGATTGAACAAAGTAGTTAAAGAAAAAGGGATTACATTTTCCGAAACCTCAGAAAAAGTAGTCTTAATTGTATCTAAACCCATGGCTCTGTGATTAAAATGATTGTGTAGCTGTCTCGTAATAAATTCTTCGGTTAATATAGATATTTTAAAAGATGCTGCTGAGATCAGTCTAGTAACTCATATAAGCCCGTTATATATCATGCATGTCTTCGGACAATGCACTTTATTTAGCTGGAATCCTTAGAAATAAGATATACAGGATGCATCAATGTCATTGAATATGGAACAGGCAAGAAATTGAAAGACTATATACTCTAATTGACTTGGACACATTATTAAAATCAGAATTTATTGAAGCGCTAAAATTTTAATTATCCAATAGTACAAAAACAGGCAAAGTGTGGCCCAGCTATCAACGAATGTTGGAAGTTGCCCGATAAATCATCAAAACTGATCACAAAGAGTTCTGGCAAATGTATCGTCCAAGCTATATCTGAGTGTTTACCTATATTTGCTGCTGCTGGGAATGCTAATTTACTTAAATCTGCATATATTTATCTCCTGAGAAGTATTTTAGATGCAGAATGTCCTGCAATGTACATGAAATGTTTACATAGATTTCATTAGTTGCACTAATCAGTAATGAGTTGGTCTTGGCTCTGATTGGCCATTGAGTGAACTCTAATGTGGTCCTTGAAGAGTAAAGTTGGTTTTAAATAACTAGAGGAATTGGCATGACTGAAGAGCTGTTGATAATGTCTCCTCCCATATCCTCGAACTACAACTTTGCCTTGAAGAACTTCAATAATACGGTGTATATATCAAGTGAACAAAAAAATGAGGCAACTGATTCACAAATGAAAAGGAACAGACAGGCTAAGTTAGTAAAACTTGCAAACAGGCTTGAAGAACGTTTCTCTGGATAGACAACTTTAAGAAATATTATCACGGATATAAATATAAATGTTCAAAATCCTTTCATTGTAAAAGATACAGTTAAATAAATGTGACGGAAAGAAAGAACCCCGTACAGATCAATTGCTGATACATATGCATCCTTCTCATTTAATCTATATCTGACGGATGCGATAAGGACAATACACATCAGCGCAGAAAAAGTTACAAATAAAGTCAATATATCAGATGTCAGATTTCCAACCAAATTTGTTAGACAAGTGATGATTTTCTCTCAAATGATATGAACAGAACTGCCATCTACCTGATTGCAAACCGCATACAACAGAAAAGCAAAATTATCATCGATGAGCCATTACAATTAATTTTATCAAACAATTCAACAACCTATATTGGAAAAAAACACATGCTTGTTACTAGTATTACTGTATCATGGAGCAAAGGACTGCAAGGATCGTTGTTTTCGTTCTGCCAAAATCAAAGGGAAATCAAATGTGTATTAAGATTTTGAGTGACTCTACATCTATAAGCTCGACAAAAGTATGTCCTCTAACAATTGACCAAGGGCAATTCTGTCTTGTCTGCATGTTCAAAGATCACTATAGACGAATCAAGGTACTATTGAAACCACTGGCCACAAGGCAATGCTATGCTTGTTTAAGGGGACTCAAGGTAGTGTCCATAGTGTCGCTAGTGTCATTATGCAAACATGAGAGGAAGCCGCAAATCATCCATCTCGATAGACCTATTCACAAGTAATGCAGTGAATATGGCATGACAACAGCATGGATCCCAATGAGTGGGACTGGAACGTATATGGCGACATACTTGACACAATTTCTGCGCAAGTTACACTGCTCGAGATAATCCGATGTAAGTGTTCAACAGAATGCGGTACAATGAAATGTAGCTGCAACAAAAGCTTGTGAAAATTGTCAATATAGCAACTGTGACAATATATTCGTCAGTTGCAGATAACGATGAAGTAACAGACAAAGTAGCTGTGTAATTATGAAACATGACATCATGACATCATCCATAATGACGTAATTTACCACATAATGACAGTCACCTTCACAAATTTCACCTTTACCAACATTAGATTAAATATAATGTTCAAATGTAGAGTGATGAGAAATTGTAGAATTCAACAGATATGACTAAATTGTGTTCATTTTATACTGATGGTCTAATTTAGCATATGTAAGGTTTCATAATTTTGGTAACATTTTGATAATTTATCATACTTTTCTTTTCGGATTTTTTAATCGCCAACTGCAACTCCTGACGTGAATACGTGCTGGCTAAACCTCTCTATTGTTGTAATTGCACTTATTCTATACTAAACTGTACATCTGTTTAGGAGTATGTATCTAGATTCCTACTAAATTTCACCACGTAAAAAATAAACAATATTCTGGCAATTTAATTTATGCATAGCATATACATCACATTGTTGAAATACAGCTATAGCTAATTCACGTTTATGAAAGAAATCGTTCAATTGTCTGTAACATGACTTGTCAGTCACCCAATCAATCTTTGAAATATCTAATATGACTATAAATATTTATTTTAATTTGAACAGCTGCGTTACTGGTCACTGACTCATTTGCAGAATTAAATCGCCACAGTCGGACAAAGTTCAACATAATTGGAGGATTAGACTCATAATAACCGTATATTATTCACTTATATTTCGTTTCGGAAATTCAAGTGAATCAAAGTGAATTCTGGTGAAAATTGATCGATTACACACTATTGTTGTAGCTGAACGTGTTCTTGTAATTACTAACTAAAGTATTCATGTTTTAGAGAAGAAATAATCTAATAGTACGATTGACGTAGAACCGTGTCACTACGAGTCGACGACAAGCAGTAATTCTTCTTTTACAGCACTAGCATTTTCCTCAGCTGATTAGAATACACGTCTATTATTATTATCTCATGAACAAGCCAAGTTGTCGATTTCTTCAATGATTTTTTAGTTTGTTTTCATTGGCGTTACGTGCATTTTTCCAACCAGTCTGAGTAAATAAATGCTGTACATTTCGTATGGTAAATAAATGCTGTACGTTTCGTATGGTGACATAGTATTACAAACTTGATATATATTGCCGTATAAAAAAAAAACATTCTGTTTTATTCATCTGTGATTTTCGTCTGTTTTGACGGGTATGACATAGAACGACCAGGCTACGTATACAGCCGTAGTTTCTGTTCAAGGAGAAATAACTTGGCTCGTTCATGTGATAATTTAGAATACTCCTTGAAAAGCATTTATCCCAACATAATAAAACTGTCTATGAACTGAAATAAAGTCGAAATTGGATTCGAAACTTAAAATAATAATATTACATATTGCGTGGAACCTGTTTTATGAGAAAACCCCTAATGATATAATAATAATGGCGGTTTCGTTTAATTCGGCGTTTTTGTTGTAAATTGCATAACACACACTTTCAATCACCAAATGTATACTATAGTTGTTTAAATTGAAATAAAACTCCTGATTGTATATTGTATCGAAATATTTGTATGAGTAATAACTACAAAGTGTGCTGGCAAATGAATCCGTTTTAATATACGCGGCCATGATGACTTCCTTTGATGTCAACAGAATGGGTAATTTGTAGTTACATTGCCTGGCAGAACTCGATATCCATGAATAAATATAAATACAGCAACTTACTATAATTTTGATAGTTTACCGACAGTATGGATGGGCAACAATTCAGGTGGTTCGTACATTTGTTTTTAGTCTTATCATGGGCATTTAGCGTAAGTAAATTTGTCTGACAATAATTTTGCGATCTATAATTTATCTTTACATTGATACAATACCTATACAGAATATATGTTTTATTATATAATATAGTGATCTGTAATTTGTATTTACAGTATTATATAATTGCATTTAAAATATACAGAAATTGCTTGTTATATAATTTTTATATATTACTATTTACTTCCTTTAGGTTAATACGCAAACAGGTAAGACACGACTTACTGTGTTTATTTTAATTATAGTTATTTATTTATTTATTGTATATTCGGCTATACGTAAGTTGAAAAATAATATTTCTGATATTAACCGACAATTCTATTTCGTTTTTATCTTTTCGCGCCATGTTTTAAAATAATACTTCATAAAGTAACATTGATTTCAAAATACAGAGTGTGGGAATTGGACGCAGTGGATGGATGACGAAAATGGTGGTCTTGTTGACCCTCAACTTGGTGAATTTGAATACCTCCCTGATCTTCGTAGCCTCTATGATTTCTGCGAAACCCCTAGCAGTATTGAGTGCCGTACAGTGCTTGAACCGTATACACTATCGTACGAAACTGGACAGACCGTACACTGCGATTTACCTGATGGATTGATATGCTTTCATGAAGACAATGTTTCCCCTTGTATGAACTACAAGATTCGATTGTGTTGCCCGTTGCCATTGGAAAACGGTAAGAATGGCGTCCGTTTTGTATTTTGTTTAACACTTTGTAGTAGCATGAAATACCGGGAAGTTTCAAACTAATTAATAACGACTTGCTTGATTTTTTCTATTGTCGATTGTTTTATGATAACATGATTCATTAGATTCACAATTCAGAGTATACTTTAGCCAAGAATCGACTGTAAAACTGCGTTCAAAATGATAACCATTAGATTTAGTAGGGCAGTTATAATTTGTTGCAAATATTTATGATTTTATTTATATTTATACTAGACGAACTATGTGTTGGTGATAATTTATATAAAATGGTTTGGCAAGGCTCCCTGACGTGGTACGATGCAGACATACAATGCAAGAACCTCTTCGCTCCAAAAGGCTTCGTTGCCGGTTTAGCTAATTTAGAATCTAATGAGGTACGAAACTCTGTGAGAAGGTTCATAAAGAATGTTCCAGGTTTCTCCGACCCAAAAGGGAAAGGCTACTGGATTGGGTGTCACGACGAGGAAAACGAAGGCATATTCGTATGGTTGAATGGAGAGAAGGTTAATGTGCCAGACAGTGCCTGGTATTCCTATCCAAACAACAAATATACCGGTAATTGCGATGCAAAAGATGGGGACCAGGATTGTTGTCAACTGTGGTACGTTGATTCCAATTAGTATATTATGCTTGCAAACTTCCTTTTTTTCAAACATTTTCTGAAAAGTCATTCTTCAGGTAATCTCTCCCGTCCTGCAATTACAAATAAATGGGTGAACTCTGTGAGCTTCTTCGTATTGATCCGTCAATTGTCATAATGTTTTTTATAGGGAAAGACCAAAAAACGATCCTTCCTTCAAAATGGATGATTCCTGCTGTACAGACAACAAGGCTTTCATCTGTGAAGTTCGTAAGTTCACTATAATATAATTGAATATCGAAAACGAAATGAACACTTAGAATCAATTATTTTCTCTATTGAAGAGTCAATACGCATAACTGTACTCTGGGTATTTTGGAGCGTTTTTAATTAGTGTTCTTTGATATTATATGTGAAATATTATTTATTGTAAAATATAAACGTAAACGTGGCATTTTCCATTATCCAGACTTTGTGTTGCATCACTGATGTATTAATATCGTTACCTGTTGCGTTTCGTCGGCCCAAAGATGCATAACATGTAATTACGTTAAGAAGCATGCAACATATTCAGTGATATGGGAGACAAAAGACAAAATACGTGGTACTACTACAGAGTACATTTATTACTATTACTCGAAATACTCTGATTATAAAATTTACATTTTATCTCCAGCTGGATATTGCGCACGTCCATAGAAGACGATGTCACACCGGTATATGTGGTTTATAAGACGTGACAATTATACACAATGATAAGTAATCATTTACAATATAAATGATATGTAAATTACCGACACATTCTCAATTAAATTCATCATTCACCAATCAATCAAATGAAGTATTTTTGTTTAATATCTACTGTTTAACACTTTGAACGCAAATCCCAATTAGTGTCACCAAAAAATAATTGATAATGAACATTGAATAGAGTTTGTAGCTAATTTGAAACCGTGTCAGTATCATTTAATATTAACAAAGACATTATAGATTATTTTGGCAGAAAATGCGGCATTTAAAGTATTGCTTGTTACCTCGGTTAGTCTCATTCCCAGGGAATATTTTTATCACTTATTTGAATACGTGTGTGCATTGGCATATGTGTATCATTTGTTCGATTTCATGTGTGTGTCGGGGTGTGAGATGGAATATCTATTTTGCTGCGATTATCCAAATTTGTTGGCTGTTTCTTTGCAATTCGTCGCGTCGATGTGAATCTTTCATCGGATCAATCGTGCCCTGAATTCTAATTATTTATCACGCGGCCATTGAGATATTACGTGCAGATAACAGGAACAGTTAATACACTCGCTAATGATAGCGTACATGTAAGTATCATGCTTTCTACACTGTCTTGTTTTCATGGACATCTTCCGTTTCTGGGGGAAAAACTACGCTTGCTAAGAACATGACTGTTTCTTCGAAGGCTTGATCGTAAATAATAACTTATACACTTCATATACAAACACTACAAACACATTAAGCGCATATTAATCAAGCAAAACGGGATTCTAACTCGAGACTTCAGCAAATAATAAGCAAGTAAGCAGACACATATCGCATTGCACCGTACTCAACGTTACTTTTATACTTAACAATTTAATATAACATGAAAAAGAAATTAGATCGATACACACTGGTGCGAAGTAACCATATAAACGCATATATACAATGATGCTATCTTTCGATAATGGGCGATTAAACATTCAATCATAAACACAACAGGAAATGCTAGAATTGGTTTGTATTTATGACTTAGTTTGTGTTCAGTTATATTGGCATAGCAACATCGGGGAGAGTTAACAAATGAATCGAGAACTCGAGAACTGTTAATGTTCAAGTACACTGCAAAACACGCGACTCCACTTCACAAAATAAATTAGAATATTAATTGCCTGTAATCACATATGAAATGGCATATTCGGGTCAGGCGTTGTCCATAAAATCGTCGTACGTTGACTCAAGTCTTTCATATCCTGAAACATGCTACTGTTAGTACTGCTCCTGTGCATTTTCTCTTTCACATCTTTGCAAAAGGTAAGATGTCACAAAATACATTTATTCTCTTCGATTACTGCGAGTATATAACTTATAATATTAAGAAGTATTTTCGATTTGCTAATATATTGCATAACCGATAATGTCAATGCATAAACATATTCTTTTTTATTTCTATTACTTCAGACAAATGCGGCAGAAGAAGGTGTAGTACTTATTATTTGTTTTTATCATCTTTATTTATTCAATATATATTATATAGTCATAATTGTTTTGCTATTTACAGCAACAGTGTGCAGTATCATTCATTATAATCGCAAAGTTGTTTAGTTTACAAGTGTTGCACCACGAGTAAATCAGACCCATTTAAAGCAAGGTTATTCTTAAATTGCGAGTGCAAATTTTCTCTCATATTTTCATCACGATTGATTTATCAGCGCTGGTCATTATCAGACCATCGATGTTCCTTTCACAAATAAAACACACGTTCATAGTGGCCACGCAGAAACAACAACCGTTGCAGTGTAACTAATCGCACGTTAACACTAGTTAACGGACGTTGTCCAGGTGCAACGTTCACCAGTCTTCGGATTTCGATCTGTTAGTGGCGTTTGGCTTTGAATTAAATGTTTGTTGATATTTGAACCGTAATAAATCAGTAGCATCGATGTTGAAGTGTTACAGTTGTCGCAATGCGCCGCGTTCGAGATGAACACCATGAGCCGTGAACAACGCTTTGACAACTCCAACACGAAAATCCTACACTACACAGTGACTGTGGCGCTTTATAATATCTGGTGCGTGTGTATCAGTGTTTCATATGTATTTGTTTTGACGATAGTTAACACATTTTTTGTTCCACCAGCCTGTGATGTATGGACCGAATGGATGGACGACGAGAATGGCGGTCTGGTTGACTTTGAAGCAGTAGGTGAATTTGAATTGATAGAAGATCTTCGTCTAAATTATCAAATTTGTGACTCGCCCTCTGAGATGGAGTGTCGTGCCGCGGTAGAGCCGTACACTCCGTGGGACCAGACATCACAAACTCTACAGTGTCATTTATCGTTTGGTTTGATATGTTTCCATGATGACAACCATTAATTTATGTCAGAACTACGAAGTACGCGTGTTTTGTCCATGTTCTGTCCAGAATGTGACATATAATGATTCTGCTGAAGGTACGTCTTCTAATTTGACGGCATGTAGAGAAACTTTTCAAAATTGTATTTCGTGTGTGTACATCAGTGGCAATGAAACTACGCTAGATTACGAAATCCGATGTTTGGATATGAATCGTAATAAGACCCCATTATATTGCGTATATTTTTAGCTACACAGTGATCTAATTTTAGTACAGAGATTCGATTAAAATGACGACTGTATGTTTCTGTACACATATTGGCAGGGTAGCTAGTATCCATTTTCATTGATAAAAATCGTCCAAGTGGTCTCGGCGTTTATCGGCTAGGGTGTAACTTACATAAATGTGTATCTTTATGTATATCTTCATGGATAGTGTGATAACCTATCACATCATGAAGCATGTTGTTGTACTGTAGATAAAAGTACTAGGAAGTTGTATGCCGTTTGAAAATTGTCAAAATATTTTTATATTAAAGTGTTGATATTGTTAAACAATTAGGCAATAATTAAGTATTCACATTGAAATGAGAATTTAAGTTCATCACTGGTTAATAAAATCTTTACTCAACATACATATCTCGTTGCAGCTGCGGTTGTGAAATTTATTAATGGGAATTGCTATTGTGCTACTCTGAACTACTTTTGATATTCTTTTTTCAGACGAACTTTGTATTGGAGACGATTTGTTCAAGGTATTTCTCAGCCCAATCATGATGTGGAAATCAGCTGATGACTACTGTAGAGATCAGTATAGTATTGATGGGTTTGATTCATCGCTGGCTGTTTTAGAGAAGTAAGAAGTACGCAATACACTGCGCACGTTTTTGATGTCATCGACAGTGTACAGTCATCCACCTAAACACGGTTATTGGATTGGTTGCAACGATCGGGACATAGAAGGTACCTTTACGTGAACCACCGGGGAAGCTATGAAAACGCAAGATATGGTATGGTCCCCAAACAATCCCAACAACAAGGTCAATCTCAGGTGCGCGGATGAAGATCATGACCAAGATTGCTGTCAACTCTGGTAAATATTTCTTAGTTATTACGTTTTCATATAAGACATTGATTTTTATTATCTTGTGTCTAATACTTGGATGAAACTTGTGTTAGAGTATCAAGATAATTTTTATATTTACATTCATATTGAAGTATATTATGTTAATATCACGTTGAAATGTTGAACATACATTACTCATACATACAGTCTGTTGTTAACGTTGATTGATTGATTGATTGATTACTAGTGGTAAGTAAATTCGGTGAGCAATATTTTGTAAGTCAGCAGAAATTTGACTGATTCGAATGATCGATCGATCGATTGATTGATTGATTTTCTGTGCATTAAATTCAAAAGCACAAACTGTACAAAATAATAAGAATTCGAACGCATCGAATCAAAGCAGTTATCATTATCGTTACACTCATCGGCACCGACATCGCAGTATTCAGATGACTAATTCAGAAAGTTTGTTTTCTTCAAGGGAATATCCGAGAACCGACCCAGTATTCAAAATTGACGATGAGTGTTGCACAAAAAAGAAAGGATTCATTTGCGAAATCCGTAAGTTTTTTGTCTGTTTTGATTTGCGTATACTTATATGCGGTCACCACGCAATGTGCAATGGACACGTTGCTCAACTCGTTTCGCGTAATACGTTGTTTCTGATACGAATATTGGTGGGGTCCTTTTTACTGTGAGTAAAATTGGCAAAATGGTTTTAGTTTTGTCAAAAACATCGTAATAATGAATTATGAATTTCACATAGACTTACCAAATGTCCAATGCTCGTGTTCACACAGAAACTTAACAAACTTATCAATATTACTGCAAATCGTTATATAATTAGTATCTAGGTTGTGAACAGTTGTCACTTATGATATTATTTATTTATAATCATGCTATAATATTTGCTCCAAGTCAGCGGTTATTTAATTGCCAATCAATTTCTCCGCTTGATTGAAAGTACAGCCTGTGATAATAAGATCTGTCTAATCATTTATGAGAAAGTGCACATGTATGGTTGACGCATAAATATATTACCATGGTAGCCAAGCAAAATAAATGTGTCAGTTTCCAAGAATTCCCAAATCATTCTCGCATGGACCAGACTTTCCAATCTTCGCTGTATTTCGCATTTAATTTAGGTATTTTTTTCTAAGTCAATAATGACTGGACAAATGGTTTACAGATATATTTTATTCGCACTTGCTGTTTATAACCTTTAAATATAATTACAACTCTTCATTTTTTAGGAGGAAAATGTGCCAACTGATCCAGTGTTATGTGTATAAGTTATACTCTTATACTGCTCTGCTGTCTGGAATATAACGTCGGCATCTATAATTGGCCTCATTATCTATAATAGAAGTAGATACATTATTTGCATTTGATGAGTTTATGATGCGTGTCACTGAAGTTTGTTTGTAGACCTACTATTTGACATGCGTTTCCATGTGGAAACGACGACTACGTTGCTATGATTTGCATAAATTGAATCACCTGGGCTACTGAAATGTCCGAGTGATAAAACGAGTCGCTTACCTACCAGCCGTAGTTTCGCGGCTCCAGTGTCATTTATGAACATCTCCCCTAGCCGAGCAGTACGAATCAGTAAATGTCAAAACGTTTAACATACGCTTAGTGAAGAAAGTAAACAAGAACTATAGAATGGGAAAAAT